ATGGAAAGAAAGAAAATGCCAAGGCATCCGTGGAATTCAAAGGTGCGCTTCTCATCAAAGAAGATATTTAGGTTGGGGCGAATATGTGTTCTCACACACGGTACACGCATGTAGGATATGGAACTAAGGGCGAGGGGTATCAGATCTTGAGCTTAATAAAGACACCAAGCTTTATTCCAAAGTGTCGGAACCAGTTTCCACCCTCAGCAGCAGGGTATGACAATTCCTGTTCTTCCATCTCCTCATGAACGTGGGCTAATTGCACTTGGATACTGTTGGCGATCCGGTAGGTGCAGAGTGGTATCCCATCGGGTAGCCCTTGTTCTTCAGGGATCACACGACTAGGTCGTGGGTCATAGCAGGAGTGGGAGAGTCCCACAGAGTCAAAGGGTCCCTGCAAGAGGAAAGAGAAATGGCCCAGCAGGTGGCGTGGTGGCTAAAGGTGCTGGACTCCCACATGGATCACGGTTTGAGTCCTGGACCTGGCAGCTTGCTTTCTCACTTTCTCTCTATCTTTGGTGAAAGTGATAATAAATAAATAAGTAAATCTTTAAAAAAAAAAAAAAAGAGAGAGAAAGGAAGATAATAGAGATACTTTACTAACGTCATGCTTTGCTAACTCAAATCAGTTGTAGTGGGTTGAATAGTGTTCCTCAAATTTCTGTCCTTCCCTGTACTTTAGAAAGTGACCTCACTTGGAAACAGGGTCCTTACGGATGTAATTAGCAAAGACTAAATCATACCAGAGTGAGATGAGCACTCAACAAAAATGGCTGTCCTAAGAAGAGAAGAGACCCGGAGGGAAGGTGGGGCCGTGTAACATGGAGACAAATAGATGTGACTTCCGTGGCTACAAGCCAAGGAACGCTGAGGAGTGCAGTCCACCCCCAAAGCCAGGAGAGGCACGGAACAAACACTGCTTCAAAAAGGAAGCAGCCCCGGGACCAGCAGTTAGCATAATGGCTATGTTGCTGGACTCCCACGTAGTCGACCGCAGTTCGAGTCCCAGACCCGGTGGCTTAAAACTCATGCCGGGCGCTTGTGCGTGCATGCTCAAGATCCTGAGAGGAGAATGGAGGAGAAGGGATTGCGGCGTGACCATCCCCCCTGGGGGGGTGATTTCTCGCTTTCTGTCTGGCGAGCGCACGTGCCCTATAGCAAAAACCTCTTCAAAAAAAAATAAATAAATAAAGGAAGCAGCTCCACCAATGCTGTGATTTTGGACTTCCAGACTGAGAGGACTAAAATTTTTAAAAATTTATTATTGATTTATTTACTTACTTAGTTTAAATAATTATTTATTTAATTTTATTTATTATCGCTATTTTTTAATTTGACGAGAGAGAGAAGGAAGTGAGAAAGCAAACTGCCAGGTCCAGGACTTGAACCATGGTCAGCCATGTGGGAATCTGACGCCTTAACCTCCATGCCATCTATTGGCCTCTACTTATTTACTTTAATTTGCTATAGGGCATGTGCTCTCGCGAGAGAAAGCAAGCTGCCAGGTCTGGGACTTGAGCCGCAGTCGGTCATGTGGGAGGTTCAGTGTCTCAACCAACACACTACCTGCTGCCCCTGATTTCTGTTGTTCAAAGTCACCCAGTTTGTGGCACTTCGTTGTGACAGCCCTAGGGAACAAATCCAGCAAGTCGCATGCCGGACTGGGATTTGCGAGAGCTGTCTCCAGTCTCTGCACTAGCTGGCGGTTATGTACTCACAACTGCTCCCGTTCTGGATCTGTGTGCTGGCTTCCTCTCCGTCACCTTCAGGCCGGAGGCTGGAACCCCCTCCCGCCGTTACTCATGCCAGGGTAGTGCATCGATCCTCACTGCCCTGTAGGGGCCTTTCCTCCACGTCCCAGCAGGCATGTGCACCTGGAGGGTCTGCCAGGATCCGGGAAGAGACCTTGCTCTGCCCTTTCCTCCCGAGTCTCACCCCCCTCTGTCGACTTCACACTGCATACAGCAATTTGCAATCACTTCTCTGTCTTTCCTCTTCCTCACCTGTTCCTCCCCTTAGATTGAAAGCTCCCTGCTTCGTCTGTCCTGTTATCACTGTACCCTTCACTGCCTGGCACGGCCCCTGGTACGTTGTAGGCATTTAATATTTCTTGAATGAATGAATGAATGAGGAGGAACTTTTTTTTTATTTTATTTTTACAACTCTAGCACTAGCCATGTCAGATACTCTGGTGCTCAATTGATGTTCATTTTTTCTTAAAGTATTTATTTTATTTTATTTTATTTATTATTATTATTATTTGCAATTTGCTATAGGGCACATGTGCTCGCCAGAGAGAGACAAAGAGAGAGAAGGGAGAGTGAGAAAGCAATCTGCCAGGTCAGGGACTTGAACTGCAGTCAGCCATGTGGGAGTCCAGAACCCTAACCATCACGCCACCCATTGATGTTCCTTTTTCTTTTCTTTTCTTTTCTTTCTTTTTTTTTTTTTTGTTGAGTTTTTTTTTTTTTTTTTTTTTTTTTTTTTTTTTTGCGAATTTCTCTTTTCTCTTTTTGGAGAAGTTTTTGCTATAGGGCGCATGTGCTCGCCAGAAAGAGACAGACAGAAAGCAAGAAATCACCCCCCAGGGGGACGGCCACACCGCAGTCCCTTCTCTTCCATTCTCCTCTTATGATCTTGGGCAGGCACACACACGTGCCCGGTGTGAGTCTAAGCCACCGGGGTCCAGGACTCAAACCATGATTGACTACACTGGAGTCCAGTGACATAGCCAATACGCTAACTGCTGATCCCTCTTTTTTGTAGAGGTTTTTGCCTTAGGGCACATGTGCTCACTGAAGAGAGAGAGATAGTGAGAGGGAAAGTGAGAAATCAACCCCCTGGGGGATGGTCACACCGCAATCCTTTCTCCTCTGTTTTCTTCCTGGGATCTTGGGCACACGCGCACACTCACACGCCTGCTGTGAGTTTCAAGTCACCGGGTCTGGGACTCAAACCGCAGTTGGCTGTGTGGGAGTCCAGTGATATAACCACTACACTATCTGCTGGTCCAAATGTTCATTTTTTAAAAAGTTTATTTATTTATTCCATGAGTGAAACAGGAAGGGAGAGGGAGAGAGAGACAGCACCCCCAGATCATGGGCAAGCTTGTGCCAAGCATACTCAGAGATGTCTCCAGACTTGAAGTGGGAACCTTCACATGTGGGATCACCCTGCAGACCATCGCATTGTACAGCAGTGCCACCATCTGTCCCCTCAGTTGATGTTCTGTGTTCCTCCATAGCCCTGTTTTTGAGGTCAGAGGGGCCCAACGTGGGACACAAGCTTAAGACGAAGAACCGAATGGGTCTAAGTTCTGTGGGCTGTAGGAGTCTGAGTGGATGTTAGAGAGGATTTGAATGTGAAGAAATGCTTGGAAAGGTGTGTCCGAAAGTGGAATTTCTGCGTTTACCTGCATGTAAGCTGCATTCAGGTTTCATGTAAATTGATTTGTAAGAGAGGATAAGTTTGTGACCAAAGCATGACTGGATTAGTGAAGCAGCATAGCTTGAGTGCTGTCTTTTTTTTTTTTTTCTTTTTTTGGAGAGGTTTTTGCTATAGGGTGTGTGCACTCGCCAGCCAGCCAGTCAGAGAGAGACAGAGAGACAGAAAGCGAGAAATCACCCCCCAGGGGGATGGTCACGCCGCAATCCCTTCTCCATTCTCCTCTCGGGATCTTGGGCACGCACGCACACGCGCCCGGCGTGAGTTTAAGCCACCGGGTCCGGGGCTCGAACCGCAGTCGACTACGTGGGAGTCCAGCGACATAGCCATTACACTAACTGCTGGTCCCAGTGCTGTCTTTCAAAGGCCAACCCAAACCACACCCTTGTCCCAACAGAGCTCCCAGGTAACTTAATGTCAACTCGGCTTTGATTTCCCCCTGGATTATATGAAGGCAGTTAGGACAGACTATCACTTACCTGTTCTGTTTGGTTAACCTGAAATTAGGGAATGCATAAATGATTTCTTAGTCAATGCAACCTGTTTGATAGAGAAAATATTTCTAAACGGGCGTACGAGGGAGAAAAAGGCATTCTTGGCAGTTGGCTAGCTTCTTGATGTCTGTCTGTCTCTCCATCACAGAGGCGGGTAGCTCAGTCCTAAACAGTGTCTCAGATAAGATTCCAAAGTCACACCTTTACCTGGGTAGGTTGGGTGAACTCTAACCCTGAAACTATGCACGTCTTAACATATGACCATGTATCCTACTTTCTTTGAGCCCATAACGTTCTTCAGATTCTCAAATGGACCCAGGGTCCAAAGAACGTTAAAACCCCTCAACTTGGTGCCAAATACATGTCTTGGGCAGGATGCCAATCCATCCAGCAGAGGGCAGTGGCACTCACATTTACCGACCTCCTTGACCCTAAAGCACTGGTTATCAGGAGCTCCCAAGGTTGAGCCAAGTAGAGTTGACCAAGGGCATCAAAAGACCACTCTGTCCTTCCCCTGCTCTTCCTGTCGGATTGCTTTTGGATCCGTATTTCCAACCCTGAGGTGCCACATCATGGGATGCATACATCTAAACAGTGGCTCTGGCAAGACGACTTTCTCTCATTTACTTCCTGAAAGAGCCCAAAAGGAACTTCCCAAGTTTTGTTGCTCCTTTGCCAATGTTCTTGCTTGCTTCATGGACATGTTCAGACCCCAGGAATAACATTGATTCAGAGGTCCTGATTGGACATTGTTCAGGGGAAGTTTGAATGAACTAACTTTTATTCTCAGTTGGATGTCCTTGCCTACAAAGTAAACATCTACCTCCTTGACATTCAAAGCCTTTTGAGACTGGTTCTACCTTCCTTCAATTCTTTCTTATTTACTCTCCCATACATATTAGCCAAATTCTTACTGAAATTTCTTTAGGTTTTCCAACAAGCTTACTCCTTTCTTTTTATTGTCATTATCTGTCCTAGTCTCAGTCCCTCCTACCTCCATGGAGGCGTCTCTAGCTAAGAAACAGTTATGCACGCTTTCCGCCATCTTTCTGTGCCGCCATAATGGTGCACGTGAATGTCCTGGCTGATATTTTCAAGAGCATCAACAATGCCAAAAAGAGAGGCAAATATCAGGTTCTTATTAGTCCAGATTCCAACGTCACTGTCCGGTTTCTAACTGTGATGATGAAGCATGGTTACACTGGCAAATCTGAAATGGCCAATGACCACAGAGCTGGAAGAATGGCGAACCTCACTGGCAGGTTAAACAAGGATGGAGTGATCAGCCCCAGATTTGATGTGCAACTCAAAGATCTAGAGAAATGGCAGGATAATCTGCTCCCATCCCCTCCGTTTGGTTTCACTGTGCTGACAACCTCAGCTGGCATCATGGACCAGGAAGAAGCAAGGCAGAAACCTACAGGAGAGAAGATGCCGTCATTCTTTCTCTAGGGATATAATACAGACATACAAAGCAAATGCCTCAATGGGGAGGGGGGAGAAAGAAACAGTTGTGCAATGAGGTTAAGGGCTTGGAAGGGCTGAGGCAGCAAGCCATGTAGGTAACTGGGGAGAGGAGTCTTGCAGTCACAGAGAAAAGCAAGTGCAAAGACCCCAGGGTGGGAGCCTGCTTGGCCCCTCAGAGGCACAGCGTGGCTGGGACAGAATGCACAGCAAGAGGCGAGGCAGAGGGCTGCTGGAACCACATGGCATAGGGCTTGGTGGGCCATAGCAGAGAGACCCCAGCAGAGCGCTCGCACCACAATCCACCCCCAGTCTCAGCTGGCCTGAATCGTGGGTACGCACGTGCTCTCAGGGAGGTCCCTGATGTGAATCCAGGACCTCTCCTCTGTGGGTCGGTTACATTATATGGAGGCACCCCCTGGCCCCCAGAGACTTTGGTTTTACTCTGAGTGAGAAGGAAGATAGAGAGTTTCAAGGGCAGGAGTGACACCATACCTCACATTTCCCAAGGACCGCTCTGACCATTGCATTGAGAACAGGACGTCGGGGGCAAAGGCAGAAGCAGAGAGCCCGGCAGGGGCCTTGGCAACAATCCAAGAATGATGGGAAGGCGGCAGTGAGAAGAGCTTGGACTCGGGATCCACTGTGAGGGGGAACTGATGAGCTTTGCCAGCAGACTGGATATGGGGTTGGAGGGTAAAAGAGAAGTTAAGGACGACTGAGATTTTTGGTGTGAGACGATGGAAAGATGGTGTTGCCACTAAAATGAGAAAAACTAGGAGAGAGAAGATGGGGTGGGCAGAATCAGGAGTTCGTCTGGGCCAGCTTCAGTTTGAGAAAGGAGGCCTGTTAGACCTCCTTTAGGTGCTGCCCATCTCCCCCCACCCCCTTCCTCCGTCCCGCCCACATCCTGGCCCGCTTACTCCAAGGAGCATCCTGGCCCCACCGCCAATGCCTCCTCTGCTGAGCTGGTGGCCATCAGTCTCTCCCAGGGTTTGAGCCAAGCTCCAGCTTGCCTTCTTCATGTCTGCTGCCATAAAAGCTGCAAAAGCTCTGGGGACCCAGCCTGAATGACCGATGCACTGCAGCGGCTCCGATCTTCCTACTTCTGAGCCCAGAGTCAATTCCAAACCAGGGCTGGTGGAGTTGGCATCTCCCATGCAGCTCAGAGAGGCCAGGGAACACAACTCAGAAGTGCAGAGGTAAACCTCTGTCATTAAAAGACAAGAGATTAAAGGAGTCAATGGAAAAATTCTATTTTCTTCTGCAGGCCAGAAATAAACCTCCTTTCCAAGAGGCAGCCCGGAGGTGTCATGGTGCCATCTGGCCTCCCTGGAAATGCTCCTATGTAACCAAGCACTCGGCGATGTTTCCTCGCAGATGCATGGCTACTCTGCAGCACGCCACCCCGTGTTTACTGTCCTTTCCCCCCTCCCTCTTCTCCAACATATTGCATGACCTCAGGCTTTATATGATTTTTTTAGTTTTTGCTATAGGGTGCGTGCACTTACCAGAGAAGACAAAGAGAAAAAGAGAGAGGAAAAGTCACCCTCCAGGTGGGATGCCACGCTACAATCTCTTCTCCATGCTCCTCTCAGGATTTTGGGCATGCACGCACATTCAAGCCACAGGGTCCAGGACTCAAACCGTGGAGTCAGCCATGTGGGATACAGTGCCTTAACCAGCACACTACCTGTCCCCATCCCCCTCAGGCTCGAATGTGTAAGGGACCCAGGGTAAGTCAACATTCAAATAAAATGCAGAGTGAGCAGGGGAAAGGTCAGTGCTGAAAATCTAAAAAGAGGAGATTGAAGAGCAGACCTACTGTGCTAGGATCACCTAAAGAATGAGTGTAGAAACTCCCCCCTGTGTGCCGAGTAAAGAACTGGAAGAAAGGAATGTCGGAGAAAGGACCAAGGACTGGACCTTGTAATACCGAGAGGCGGGGGAGAGGAGGATGAATCAGAGAAGATGGGGGCCACTGGTGAGAGGAGAACCAAGACAGAACTGTGTCCTGGAGGCCGAGTGAAGAAAGCGCCTGAGGTCAGAAAGTGATTAACTAGGCCAAATACAAGAGGATGCAGAACTGAGTGTTGAACTTAACATCGAGGAGCTGGCTTTCGGGAAATTGACAGGGACTGTTTCCATAGAGTGGTTGGAGCCAAAGCCTGAGCATGGTTTTGAGTGAGACTAGGAGGAAAGGGTTTGGAAACAAGTGTTCACAATCATTTCAAGGAATTTATCTCCAAAGAGGAACAAAGAAAAGAGGCAACAGTTTGAGAAGGGGTAGAGTCAAGGACGAGTTTTTTTAGGATGGGAGGAATTGCCTGTTTGTGGGTTGGAATAATCCACTAGCGGGGGTCGTACTGATGATGGAGGGAAGAGGAGAGTGCAGCCTGGTCAGTCCCAGAAGAAACCCTGAGATTCCCCCCTCCCACACTGCTCCATGGACTAGAAGTTGGAGGTTTACTTCTAAGGAAAGGGAGAATGCTAGACATCTGGAATTTTCTCTCCATGGATGCCTGGGTCTCTAGGGTCCAACTTTTAAAGTTGAACACTTCTTTTTTGATGTGGTTAGAATCCCTGAGCCCACAATATGCTCCCAGGAGTATTTAATTAAATGGGAATCTGGTGTGCATCTGTGACTAATTAATGCTGATCAAAAACAATTAAACATTAAATGTCAGTGTTGTTACCTGGTTCCTTACCAATAATTGCGAAGGGCTGAATGTAATTATCAAGTCCCGACCTCCATAGGAACCACGTTCATGTTGAAAATAATGAAAGGCTAAAACTGAGCTAATGAAAGAGCAGATTTTGTGAATTAAAAAAAGAAATTGAAGCAGTGAAACGCTAAACAATAGAGCAAAGGTATTGCTTAGAATTTTCTTCCTCAGCCTATAGGTTTAGGAGGGCCCTGTTTACAACAGAAAAGAACAGAAGCTCTACTTAGCAAAGTAGTAAACCTTTCTTTCATTTCTTTTTTTTTTCTTTTTCTTTTTATATTTTTGCCATAGGGCATGTGCATTCACTGGAGAGAGACAGAGATAGAGACAGAGAAACTGAGAATTCACTCCCACCCAGGGAAGATGGCCATTCTGCAATCCCTTCTCCTCCATTCTCCTCTTGGGATTTTGGGCATGTATGCACATGCGCCCGGTATATTTTTCAAGATGCTGGGTTCAGGACTTAAAGCACATCCTTTTTTTTTTTTTAATTTTTAGAGAGAGGTTTTTGCTACAGGGTGCATGCGCTCACCAGAAAGACAGAGAGAGACAGAAGCAAGAAATAATCCCCCCAGGGGGGATGGCCACGCCGCAATCTCTTCTCTTCCATTCTCCTCTCAGGATCTTGGGCACGCACGCACATGCGCCCAGCATGAGTTTAAGCCACCGGGTCCGGGACTCGAACCGCAGTCGACTACATGGGAGTCCAGCGACATAGCCATTATGCCAACTGCTGGTCCCAAACACCTTTATTCTGCCATCTTGAAACTGGTGGGCCTCTATGATGACCCCAGGACCCCCTGGCAAGAGGTGGGATGTGCTCGGCTCCCACAGGTGGGTTGCTCCTCTCCCCCAGGAGCAGTCTGGGAGATCAAAGGCCGAAAACGGCGGCTTGGATCCGGATGGCTGTTGAGAGCCAGAAGAGTGAGCCAAGCAGACCATCCCGCAGAAACGGGTGGAGGAGAGAAACCACAGCATGAAGCCAAAGCAAAGAGAGTTGAGGACCAAGAAATTTATGAGCAAAAAGTAGGAGGGTGGAAAAACAAGGCGGTGGTCTGGAATGATCCCAGAGACAAACTGGGATGCTGTGATGCTTTCAGATCTCATCCATGCACTGGCTTGAGTAGGCCACTGGGGTCACCTAAAGAGATCGCGGTGGGTGGACGGTCTAAAGTGATCTCCATTGTCCATCTCTCAAGGTCATGAGAGTCTGCCTTCTCAGACTTTGTAAACAGTAAAGTTATATGAAGCACTCCTTCGATGTTCTTGGTATTTTATTCTTTTTGTAAATTAAAAAAAAATGTCTTTTAAAACATTGCTATAGGGCTCGTGCAATTGCTGGAGAGAGACTGAGAAAGAGGGGAAATGAGAAAGCACCTCCCTACAAGGGATGGCGGCAATCCCTTCTCCATTCTCCTCTTGGGCTTTTGCACATGCGTGAACACGTGCCCGGTGTGCCCCTCAAGCTGCAGGGATCAGGGCTGAAGCAAGCAGCCGTCCGTGTGCGATCCAGCCACCGTAGCCACCGCACCGCCTGCTGGCCGGATATTTCATTCTTAATCTGTAAAGAGAAGACAACTATGGTTCTCTCATCCTGTTTTACGGATGCATAGGGATACTGTGTGGATTCACGAGACTCAGGCTGGCTGTTCCTTCTTGCTAAGCAGGACACTCACAATAGGGGCTGTTTATCCTGAGAAGGTGGACATGTTTGTCTTCAGATTGGGGCTGAATGCAGGGTGCTTACATGCCTATTCTAAGTGAAAGAAGGCAACCTATAAAGATTGCCTATTGCATAATTGTAACTAAGACTTCCTGGAAAAAGCAGAAAGATGAGTGGTTGCAGGGGTTGGGGAGAGGAAAGGATGAAGCAGTGAAGCCCAGAGCTGTTTTTCAGACAGTCAAAGTACTCTGGACCATGGGACCAGCAGTTAGCGTAATGGCTATGTCGCTGGACTCCCATGTAGTCGACTGCGGTTCGGTCCCAGACCCGGTGGCTTAAAACTCACACCGGGTGCATGTACGTGCATGCCCAAGATCCCGAGAGGAGAATGGAGAAGAAGGGATTGTGGCGTGGCCATCCCCCTGGGGGGTGATTTCTCGCTTTCTGTCTCTATGTCTCTCTCTGTCTGTCTGGCGAGAGCACGCGCCCTATAGTGGAAAAACCTCTCAAAAAAAAAAAAACCCTCTGGGCCATACTGTTAATACAGTGGTGGATACATGTTATATGTTTGTCCCACCAGAGAGTGTTCACCCTAATGT